CTACTACCGTCCTCTCTCTCTCTCTCTCTCTCTCTCTCTCTCTCTTCCTTGAGGTAGCTTCTCTCTCTCTCCCCCTTAGAGGATGCTTCTCTCTCTCTCTCCCATTATACAATTAGGTTCCCTTTCTCTTAAGGTATGGGGCAGCGATATCATGTCTGACCAATAATACCAATTACATCTAGAAAATTACATGCAACCGCGGGAGCATGGGAGCATATCGTCCTCTTCTAGGAGCATTTTTAGAGCTCCATGTTTTGGGCTCCAATTAACTCTAGAAAAGAAAAATGCATGCATTTCACATGTTGATTTTTTGACAATTGCTGTATTTAGGAACTCAAAATGTAATTTTAAGTTTCTTATAGAAAACCTATCCTGTAATTATCTAAAGTGGGTACCAATTTTTATTTTATTTTATTTTTAAATTCTTCCTCAGCACTTTTGCTATGGGAGTGAGTGTACAGTGTGCCTCCGTGGGACTACACTTGTCACGCCCCAAGAATTTACAATACTGATATTCCTGAGATGTGACAGTCAAAACATATATGTATCTCTTTTTAAGACAAATTTACAATGGCGAATTCTTACAAAATAACAAAAGAAAGTTTAAGCACAACTACAATATCTTCCAGAGTTGATCCTGACGAGCACTAAAAATGAAACCGCAGTTATCCTGAAAAAATGTTTACCATAATTTAATGAGTTTGGCTACTCAGTAAGTGATCATCATAATCCTAAAAATAATCATGGTTGAAAGATATCAATATTTTCAAAAAGGAGATTTATTAACATAAATGCATCAACAGTTTCACTTTCAAGAATGCATAATTAAGTATAATTCGAATAATTGAAATGCGTATCTCATTTTAACGCCAGTGCATAATTCAAAAGATTTCACAAAATACCCTACTGGCGTCCCAAGTAGGTCACCTATATACCTCATCAGCGTCCTGATGAGTTCACTTAATCCCTATCAGCGTCTCAGATATGTCCACTTAATCTTTGTAGATCCACTTATACCTTATCGGTATACTGAATGAGTCCACTTAATCTCTACCGACTTACCGGATAGGTCCATTTATACCTCACTGGCGAACCAGATGAGTCATCTTGCATACTTAAAGTATTTCTAAATCTCTTTAAACATTCGAAAGCAGCAATATCATGTACTTAACATATCACTGAAATTATTAATATGAATCTCACTGAAACCATTAATAACAGTCACTTTCAATAACATTTAAAAAATAACCAGTCAAATATTTTGGGCTCAAATTTAGAAAGGTAGCAGTTCGTAAGGACATTTTAGCATAATTGCCAATCTAATATCTATAGAAAAACTCTTATAGAAATTAAAGAATACGAAATTATCACAATTTATAGGATGTCAATTTGTAAATAAACATTTCACAGACAATGCTATAATCAAATGCAAAAATATCAGTTTTCAAATAATAAGGCAAT